AGACAGGCTGGGTGGGAGAGGAGAAGGGGGATGAATGTAGCAGTGAAACAGTGGAGAGGTATGTGGGAAGTCAGATGCCAGGCAGGTTATATTGTGTCATAAATCCAATGTCTATATTTAGTCCATGATTTTTTGTATCCAGGAGGATGATGAAGTGAAGTTCATAGGCTCGTCTGTGCAAAGTGTTGTGTAAGTTTCCTTTGAGGATTAGAACTGAGAGATTGGAGAGAGAGTGGTTTTCTTGTGAGAAATGTGCCCCCACAGGTAACTGGGTATTCTTGTCTTTGATAGATTTCCAGTGTGCGTTCATTCTGGTGTGTAGTTGTTGTTTGGTTTCCTACCTATTTTCCATCAGGGCATTTGGTGCATCGGATGAGAGATATTACATTTCTGGAGGTGCAGCTGTAAGATCCAGGAATGCTGATGGCTCTGTTGTGGGGTATAGTGATTGTGGGGGTGGTGGAGATGTGTTGGCAGGTTTTGCATTTCTTGTCATGGCATGGCCTGGATCCATTGGGTATGTTTTGGGCCATAGGAAGTTTGCTTCTGGTGATGAGGTTAGTGAGGTTCGATGCTTGTTTGAAGGCTAGGATGGGTGGCTCTGGGAAGATCTCTTTAAGAATACAGTCTCTTTCTAGTATGGGTTGCAATTGTTTGAGGATTTTCCATATGGGTTTGAGGGAGGGGTGATATGTCATAACCAGTGGGGTGCAATTTGTGGGGGGGTTTCTTCTGTAATGCAGCAATTCTTCACGTGGCTCTTTCAAATGTGCAATCTGTCTCTCTGGAGGAGTGTCCCTGTTAAGTGAAAGCCATTTTAAGATTGATGGTGGATATCCCAGGTGTTCTCCTCAGTGCAAATTCGGTGGTATCTAATGGCTTGGCTGTATTTCACAGCTTTCTTGGTGTGTTTAGGGTGATTGCTGGTTCTGTATGTTGGTCTGTGGGTTTCTTGTATAACGTGGTCTGTATTTTATCATTCTGGATACTGATCATCATGTCTAAAAAGGAGATGCTGGTGCTGGAGTATTCAAGAGATAGTTGGATGGAGGGATGGTGATTGCTGAATTTCTGATGGAACTCAATCAGACATTGCAGGTTTTCAGTCCAAATGAAGATGTCATCTATATATCTTAAGTATAGCAAAGGTTTGATGGATACAAGAATGTACTGAGGACCAACTGACTTTCGATAGCCAGTCTGACCCCACTTACCACTTAGTATTTGAAGGCTAAACTGGGGCCATTTAGCTATGTTTCATTCAGGGATAAGCTGATTCAGTTTAGTTTTTACCTAGCACAGGGTACAAGCAGGTGTATGGATGGTTACTGTACATCAATTGCTCTATGGCAAGTTTTACCCTCTGTTAACTTGTTGCACTTAGGTCATCCATCCAGATTACTGCTGGATCCATATTCTTAATTGGACTCTCAGGATACATCAACACATGGAATTAATTCAAAGCAAAACACTCCAGAGCAGATTGAGCCAAAGTAAAACTACCTACAGATGCAGCATCTACATGTACGCCAGGGGCATCAGCAATTCGAGCTGGCGTGGAGCAGATATGGGGGATCAGTCCTGGGCTCTGGGTAGTGGCAGCAGAAGGGCTGGTTGGGGCATGAGGGTGCTGGAAGTGCAGAGCTGGTTGGTCTGACCGGGTGTAATTTATGCCTGCAGTCAGCGTCTACACATGCATTTAAATCACAGTTAATTGTCCCACTGTAAGATAGTACTGTCCTTGACAGTACTATCTTACAGTAGTATTAATTAGTTTACTGTGGCCTAATAGCATCGCATGTGTCCATGGTGATGCTTTAGTTCACAGTTAATTAGTTTACTCTGTAGAAAGCCATTTTAGAAGTAAAATCATGTCAGCACAAAGTTATATGGAACCAGGTCACATTCTAAATGACAATAGCTAATGGGCCTACAAGGAGATCCACTGGACCCTTTAGTAGCAGTTATTACGTATTATTAACTATATGGGTACACATATAAAAGGAGAATTAAGGGAAAAAAGTGGTGCTATAGCAAAGGCATAGGATTAGGAGTCAGGAACTCTGTTCTTACAGGGACTTCCACAGACTTCCTGTGTGACACTGCACAGACTGTCAACCTGTCTCTGCCTTAGTTTACCTCTAGATAAAATAGATACAGTGATACTTTTGCACTTGACAGGAATGTTGTCAGGCTTAATTCATATCTGCTCCAATGCTAGTGAGGCATGCAATGGAAGTGTCCACACGGCATGAGGTTACACAGGAAAACATGTCAACCACATCTATCTGAGAGAATTTCTCAATTCAGACGGATTGATTTCCATCCAACTTCCAAAAACAAAACTATCATGCATCATTAGGCCAAGAATGAGCATGAGAAATTTCACCCTACAGGGTAATTTTCTCAAGAAGTTGGAAGCCTCTGAAGACATGGGCTTGCAATGAAAGTGCCTTCTCAACCATAACCATACAATTGCTACTGTGGCACTGTAATCAATTTTGTATAGCTTACATGTTGTCCCAAGAGCTGCTGTGATCTTGGTATATGCTATGCAATACGGTGAGATCAGATGTTCCCTCTGAACTACAAGCCCATACATACTCTGGGTTTTAAGGCATTAAATTACTTTTGCACAACTGAGCCTTCTTTTTCCACACAGGTAACCAAGGTTAAATCTATTGTTTCTTTGGGTTAAGCCAGTGTGTTACATTCACTAACAGCAAGATGAGAAGATTTTCAGACTCAATACTGGAAAAAAGAAAGAATTAGCTTGTTTCTCAGTAAAGACAGACTCTAACAATGCCCTAGGAACCTTGTGTGTGTTATAAATTCATAAATCCACATGCATATACCTACAGTGCATCTACATCACGCACACATATATATGCACACTAATAGGTGAACAGGTTATAATGATTACAATGTTTAAGCACTCCATTGCTCTACAATAAATCTGAAAGCCAGAAGGTAATCAACCAGGACCTTTAAATAAGTGTCCGAAAGTGGCATAAAGCAGTAAGGAAAAGAAAATAGGTATAAAACACTAACCCAGCAAATCTGACTTCAAGAGGTTATCGAGACTTCCCTGGTGTGAAAAGAAAAACTAGCTGTTAAAGTGGCCCAGGGATTGTTAACTAGAACTAGCTGAAAACAAGAAGGATGACTGGTTAGCAGGAACAGGTTTTTGTTGCTGTTGTCTTGGTTTGATTTGGAAGTAGCTGTCTTGGGCGGGGGGGTTGTTTTGGTTTGACTTTTTTGAGATCTGGTTGAACCCTGGCACAGTACTTCCCAGATTAAATCCAGTTCCTGGACTCTGTTCCTGCTCTGTGGAACTGACCTTAACTGAAATGCCAGTTTCACGAAGCAACAGCCTGGGGTCCCAGGGTCTGTGACTCCAGTGAGACCAGAGTCTCCTGGGGTTTTCAGGCTGCCAGTAAAAGTAACCACTGCAATGTGCTGCTGTGGTTATGAATGTGTCAATGTGATAAGGCCTCTATCAGTGGAGGAATGATCACAGCCAGTAAGCCATTAGCCTTCTTTGCAACAAGGGCACGCTGTTGGCCCATATTCAGCTTATTGTCCACTGTAACCCCCCAGGTCCTTCTCTGCAGAACTGCTGCTTAGCCAGTTGGTCCCCAGCCTGTAGCAATGCATAGGATTGTTCTGTCTTAAGTGCAGGACTTTGCATTTGTCCTTGTTGAACCTCATGAGATTTCTTTTGGCCCAGTTCTCCAATTTGTTGAGGTCTCTCTGAATCCTAGCCCTACCCTCCAGTTATCTACTACTCCCCCACAGCTTGGTGTCATCTGCAAACTTGCTGAGGGTGCACTCCACCCAATCTTCCGTGTTGTTAGTGAAGACATTAAACAAAACTAGCCCCAGGACTGATCCCTAGGGCACTGCACTTGATACTGACATTGAACCATTGATTACTACCCATTGAGCCTGATGATCCAGCCAGCTTTCTATCTACCTTACAGTCCATTTATCCAACCCATACTTACTTAGCTTGCTTGCAAGAATGTTGTAGGAGACCATATCAAAAACCTTGCTTAATCAAGGTATATCATGTCTACTGCTCTCCCTGCATCTGCAGAGCAAGTCAACTCATCATAGAAGGCAATCAGGCTGGTCAGGCGTGACTTGCCCTTGGTGAATCCATGCTGTCTGTTCTTAATCACTACCATCTCCTCCTCCAAGTGTTTAGAAATGGATTCCCTGAGGACCCAGCTCTATGATTTTTCCAGGGACTGAGGTGAGACTGACTGATCTGTAGTTCTCTGGATCCTCCTTCTTCCCTTTCTTAAAGATGGGTACTATATTTGCCTTTTTCCAATTAGCACTACTTCTATCTTAGCTTTTAGCCATTTGTTCACACCCCCTCTTTCGGTTGCTGACCCTTCTCCATGATTACTATATCTGGGGACTGTTGAAACTAAGGAGTCCAGTGAAAATGTCATTCACACACAATGGGTGTGCGACAGCTTGGGTGACAGCTAATGGCTCACTGAACATGGCACACAATTGCAGAGAGCAGGAGCATTGACTGAAAAGCCATCAAGAGCGTGCTAAGCAAGAAGTCCCCTTTTATGAAGGGATGGGCAAAGTTAAGACATAGGAATTGTTACTAGAGCTGATGGGAAACTTTCCTGTCATCTCCCCACCACAAAATTTTTGGGATATCAACATTTTTCCCCATCTTAAATTGAGACAAAAAGTCAAAACCTCCACAATTTTTTTCAAACTGAATATCAGGGGCTGAGGGGGGTGGAGGAATCACTTAGATAATCTTGAACTGTTCCATCTTGGTGCTAATGTTTTAATCTGAATATCAAAGTGAAAATCATTTTTTACTCAAAACACCAAGAGGACGTGTAAGTGAGTCAGTGCACCTGCAGCCATTTAGGCCAACTTTGTCCTCTTAAAGTCCTTCTAAAAATCCAAAAAATAGTCTGTGAGAGGGCTTGGGTGGCTGCAGCTCCACTCTGTGGCTTTGCTGCCTTGGAATCTCCACAGCCAGTCCTCATACCATAAACAACAATCCTTGGTCCAAACAAACAAGCAAATGAGTAAAGCAAGCCTTTAGCCTTTTCCCAGGTAGCAAGAGATGGCCATTTAGTTCTGGCCCGTCCTAGATGCAAGGTCCTCTGGGTTTCACTCTGCTTCCAACCAGGAAACTGTTCCTTCCACAGCTTAAGCTGCTAGCTCTTTCTTCCCTTGGGCTTTTAACTTCCTGCTAATCACTTGCAGCTGGGCTCCTGCACCAGGGCTGTCTGCCTTCCTTAAATGGTCAGACTGCCCTGTTACAGGACTGTATTCAGAAAGAAGGCCAATGTCCATATTGATGTTATATGTTGGCTTAACAAGTGAGTGTCATCTCATAATGTCTGTCCCCAGTTTCCATAACAATGTTCTACTCATAATGAACAGTTTATTTTAGTTCAAGCATCAGAAAGCTATGTTTTCAGTGCCAAAGTGGTAAGGTTCTGTTTCGAAGGACTGACATCTGCATACAAGCTTGAATTTTTACATCAGGTTATATGAGTATTTTCATCCTCTATTCACTTTCCTATGTAAGTATTTGCAGAGCAGGTCCTGCTATCCATCAGGTAGGTGGGAGTGCTCTTGAATTAACACAGCTTCTTCAGCGATCCACCTGTGTAGCACAGTCCAATTTGGAAAGCAAAAAAATGAGTCAAATGTCAAAGTTGGAGCAATAAGGAATCAAAGAAAACCTCCAGGGATGGCCAGGATTAAAGATGAATCTGTCATACACAGGTACCTCTGAGGTCAAGCAGGCAAACTTCCATACCAAGATGCAAGAGGGTGGGCCAGGGTCAAAGTTTCAGCAATCACTCAAAGAATGTCCTTGCTTTTCTCATTTTGAGTTAGACCCTAAAATGTTACCTTGTTAACTTCAAAAGGCTTGAATTGGGGGGATGCAAATAATTCTGACAATTTAAAATGTTCTTAGACATGTTATCATTCCTCAGGTACGTGAAAGAAAAAAATTATACAAGCAGGACAGATGCTGCAATAGTGCTCAACCGCAAGTCATTTAAAACATAAGCCCTTTAAGTGGCTTATTTATGTGGAAGTTTTCCAGTATGACATTTCTGATCTGTTCATCAGCCCAAATAACGAGGAGCTATGGAGACAGTCTTTCCCAACCCATGCAGGACTCAGGAGGCCTTCTGGTGACACTCTCTGTCTGGAATTCTTCAGCACTTCCCTGAGTTGGCCGACGTCATTCCAGTGACTAAGCAGCTCCCACCCTGAAATAGGAATCCAGGGAGCTGCTCACTGTTCCCGGCTCCCATACGCTGCCTCTTGGTCTGAATTTGCTTTTGCTAGTTTTGTTTATGTTCTACTCCCCCAGCCGGATTTGACAGAGACAGGGTGCGTAAAGTCTTTCTTGGCACAGATAACTGTAATCTGTTCCTAGGCACAGCTGGGCAAGACTGACTTAGCTTCTGTTCGGTTCTCACACAACTGTCTTTCCCAATCGGCCTGGAAACTCTGGTTTTAATGTTCATAGTAAATGGTGGGTCGCCCCTCCCCCCTACCTCCCTTGCAGCATTTTTTATTCAACTATGCTTCCTCTCCACAGCAAGCCTGCAGATTCATTTTAACTGTTGTAAAGTGACATGGCTCTAATGCCCAGCTGTGAACCTGGGTGTTAGAGCCCAGATTTTAATAAAGCAGAGCGCCTACACATTAAGTCCCTGGAGTCCATAGCTAGAGACTTATATAAAGTGTCTAAATATAAAAAATGCTGGAGAGAAAGGAGCTTCCATTCACTTCAGTCATGAAAGTTAGTCTCCCACAAATATGATACCAAACATGAAGACTGCACTGAAGAAACTTGCTGTGGGAACAGATGGTGACACACTGCAGAGACAGGTAAAGCACTTTGAATTAAATCTATTTAGAGACATTTTGGGTCAGAGCCTATTCTACCTACTGGTCACCATAGTATAATCCTAACTCCACCCTGCCCCAGTCCCTAAAAAAAACAGTAACACAAGATAGGGAGGTCTTCCATCTTCTTAGCCTGAGGTCTAAGTCACAAAAAGTAGGAGGAAGGAGGTTTCCCAGGAACTCAGAACAGTGGAATAGGATCACAAAGAGGCACCTAATAAATGGGATGGGATCTGACCCTTATTGTTTACTGAAATGTGCATTATAGACAGATGCAAGGACAGTCCAAGATGGTACCTGTACCCTCCACAGCTCCATTACATGTCAGATAGGACTAAACAAAAAGTACCCAAAGGCCTGGCTAATGGACCAACAATTCCAGGAGAATTAAACAAGGGAAAATGGAGCTCTCCGAACACATTTTTGAGTTTAAAATGCCCAGACATCTCTGTGAAAGAGGTGTTTACCATCAGGCTCCTTCTCTAAAAAAGTGGTTCAGACAGTCAAGAAAACTACTAAAAGCCAAGTTTCAGTATAAACAGCCTCCTATGGCAATGCATGCAGAGAAACAGGCTTTACACCTTTTACCACAAAAACCAGGACTGACTGATTCAGCATTATAAGCTGGTTTTCACAGAGTTAGAAGTTGAGGTGGCTGAACCACAACATTTCCAGTTTGCAGAAAATGTTAACTCCTGGAAATCTCTAGTTTTACTCTGACTAGGACCAATGTGAGATGGAAATTAAAAAAATAAAATCTTGATTGGCAAATGCTGACACAAGGCGTTTCCAAAATTAAATGCCCAAGTGCTGTGGAATGAAGTCGACATGATTGGTATCAGTTTGATGGCTGTCCATCCTTGAAGAGCTGCACTGAAATTATCAGTAAAAAAAGGACTTTGAGAATTCTGGCTCACATCAGTCTCCCGGAGCTCTGAGGCTCCCAACCTCATGATAAGAAATTTGGGAGCGTGGAGAGCCTTGGCTCTCACAAGAGTTTAGAGGGCTTCTGGGCTCTCTGCTACAGCACTGAGAGCCGAACCCAGGTTAGAGACAAATCTCTGAAGGCTTCTTCAGCAGGGAGCCTGGAAGTCATAGGGTTCTCCCAAAGCCAGTCCTCAAGATTGAGCTGCCCTGGAGTAAGGGATCCTGAAAGCCCAGATTCCCCAGCAGCCCTCCATGTTTACTGATAGGAAACCAGGCATGGCCTTGCCCATGGCCTGTCTAAATTCAAACCCCAAAGTTGCAGGGGACATTTCCCAGTGTCATCATGTTTCCACAGGTCCTTTCCAACCCTCCACATGATCAGGAGTGGTAATTCACTTAGGTATGATTTTCAGAAACTAGATCAGCAAAAGTATCAGATAAACAAAGACTAAGAAAGAAAATTTTTAGCTCTGGAGGAAAGAGGGAAATATGCAAAGAAAAAAAAAGGATTTTCAAAAACACTCAGAGCTGATCTAAGTCTGTAGTCATTGAAGTCAATGGTAAAATGCATCTTGGTTTAACAGGGAGCAGAGGTAGGGCCAAGGATAAGTGCTTTCAAAACTCCTGCTCTTTTCAGTCCATAATCACTATTCAGGCTCACTTGACAGTGTGCTTGGTGACATCCCAAATGGTTTAATAAGGAGTCCTTCCCTTACAGGTAACATCTTCTAAAACATCTCAGTGACTTAGAAGTGTTCGGTGCATTTTTTAAATTGTCATAAGGCCACGTGTTTTAAAGGTAGCTAGATGCAAATACCATATTTACTCAAACATAATATGACACTAATATAAGACAGCCCTCCAATAATTTGATTCTATATAAAGAAAATGTACATATATTTGTTATAATTTTCCAGGTATAGAATCTAAGGATTGCAGGGTTGTCTTGAATTTTCCCCTGCAGCCTTCTTGCCTCCCCCCCCACCTACGCCCCCCACCTCCAGCTCCCCATAGCCTGTGTCCCTCCCCACACTGCTCGCAGCCTCTGCCCCTTCCCCCCTGGTCTCCCCAGTCTCTGCCTCTTCTCTCCAAACTCCCCAGTTTCTACCTCTTCCCTTTCCCCCCTACCCCCACTCCTTACTGTCAGATGCCACTTGGGCTATTCCATCCTGGGGCACAGCAAATGGAAGCTCAGCCCTTGCCTGGCCATGCAGCAGTGTTGGCACTATTCATTGGCTGAGTAGGAGAAGGAGTTTCTGTGTGCACCATGCCCAGGAGAGACCCCAGCCCAAGCTGGAGCTGAGCTGAGCCTGACAGTAAGGAAGGCGGGAAGGTGGTGGGCAGGAGGGCAGAAGCTGCAGAGGGGAATTGAATAGGAGTAGGGGCAGGAGGCTGCTGTGGGTCTGACTCTGGCCCTAACCATGGCTCAGGGGTAGTCAGAGCTGCAGCAGCTGCCTTCTCCCCCCTCCACTTCTTATGCAAATATAAGACAAGGGGCTTTTTTCCCCATGCTGATTGGGAGAAAAATAATCATCTTAAATTCAAGTAAATATGGTAGGTGTCCAATAGGATTTTCAAAAGGCACTTAGGAAAAAAATGAGATTCTCACCTAACCCATGAAGATGCTTCCAGAAGATCCCACTAGTGACTATGTGTTCAGGTGCTTACTTGCCATCGGAAAGCTGCCTCTACCTGCTCAAGTCACTTTTCAAAAAATTATCCTATGCGATTAAAAGCTACTTTGATTGGTAAACAACTGTAAACACATTCTACACATAGATCTTTTCCAGCCCATAATGAAGTCACTGGAAAGCTAACATAGACTTTGTTGGATACTGAATCAGAAATTAAGTGTGGCACATTTTGTAATACTCACTGAATGTCTAGACTAGGGCTCATCTTCCCCTCCCTGGGGTTAGGCCCAGTGACAGTTAATGATTCTCTATTGCGATAGTACTACATGATTAGGGGCCATTTTATCAGGTGCTGTATACATGTGCATTCTCCTCCCTCTACAACCTAAAATGGAACACACTTGAGGGGCAGAAATTATAGTCCTAATATTCATTACAAGGCTGCAAAACAAAGGTCCTAGTTTGATGAATGGCCAGAATCTATTTACTTTGTACAGGCAGCACTGTAAAAACGGCTGCTGACCTTACATTTTAAGTTCTGTCCCGGAAATGATGTCTTAGAAGTTTCCTTAAATATAACCCTTTTTATTCACTCTTAAACAAATATCCCTACTTTGGTTCAGCCTCACAGGATGTCTTAAGTCAATCCTCATAGAGCAACAACAATGCAGATTTCAGAGAATTAGAATATGAAAGTGACACGCTAAGGTTACTTTAATTGGAAAATAAACAGTCAAAACGTTGCCATTTCACTTCTTAAGGAGAAACCAAATAAATGGCAGCTGAAATGTTCAAAACAGTTTGAGAGGTAGATGCCCCAGTTCAATGGGATTTGGGTGCTTGGCTCCCATAACTGAAGAGTTTATCTGGCTAAGGAGTTGCATCTAGAGGGCATAGAAGGTAGGATACATGGAAATGGGTTTAATCTACAGTAAAGCAGATTTAGACCAAATCTTGGAAAAAGCTTCTTCACCTTAAGAGCAATAGGACATTGGAACAAGCTGCCCAGCGGAAAACCGGTGAGGCTCTGTTCCCCCGGGCACCACCTGGGATAACAAGGAATTACGGCCACAAATTGATTGAGAACAGGTTCAGCCTTGATATCAGGAGGCATTATTTTATGGTTAGAGCTGCCAGGCTCTGGAATGGGCTCCCAAGGGAGGTGGTGCTCTCCCCTCCCTTGGGGGTCTTCACAAGGAGGTTGGATAGATATCTGGCTGGGGTATTATGATCCCAGCACTCGTTCCTGCCCAGGGCAGGGGGTCAGATTTGATGATCTGTTCAAAACTATGAAACTATAGGGAAGTTGTGGAATCTGCCTCAGGGGAGGTTTACAAGAAAAAGCAGGACAGGCATCTATCTGGAATAGTTTAGAAAGAGCACATCTGGTATTTGTGCAGAGGGTGACTCTTGAAGTCCCTTCCAACCCTATGACTAGAAATTTTAGCTTAGTAAGATCAGATTTTCCAAATGAAGCTGGATATCTAATGGTGCATGTGTGTCTATCTAGCAATGTCAAAATGTAAGATAGTAGATAACACGTTTTAATGTTGCTATATTTTCTGTGAACTTCAGTTTGAAGAAACCTGTTCTGTTCAGTGCTACATGATAGATTAGTCCACAAGACCAGACAAGCATATAATTGTAAGTTTCTCTGTGTTCATCCAGAGAACAGAAATGTGTTGCCAGAAACAACAATGAAACTGTACTCATGTATGCAGCAAGACTGCCATTGCAGAGGACATGTAAATGACATGCATGTTATAGACACTGACATCATGCAAGAACTCCAAAGTGCACAAATAGATCCAAGGGCTCTATCTATCCTGCAACCTGCCTGTTGACTTTATTGGATCTAGCCTTCCTACCAGTCTGCGTGTGTTCATACGCTATGGAACATAATGATCCTGGTGAAGGCTTTTGAAACCCACTTCAATACAAAGAAACAACAACTAATTGTGGCTCTGCTTTTCTGGCTTTTCTGTGGGTTGACATTAATCTTGTTCAGATAGATTTCCTTTCACATTTCTGTAGCAGAGACATGCTTTTAATGTGAAGGAAGGGACAGACAAATTTGAATCTGGAATAAGGTGGTAAATTTTTAACAGTGAGGGGAATCAAGCATTGGAACAACATGACCAAAGGATACGAAGGATTCTCCATCTCTGAAAACTTCTAAATCAAGACCAGAGTTTCTCATAATCTAGTTCAATGTCAGCTATTAACCTTGAAGTGCAAATCAATACAGAGAAGTCCTCTGACCTCCTGCTCAGGAGGCCAGATGCTTAGAGTCACTTCTATTGTGTCATTTTACAGCTGTGGGATTCAAAGGCAATAAAATCCAGATCCTGGAAGACACAGCAGGCAGGTAGATTGCTGAATCTACACCGAGCTCCTTTGAAAGGGGCTTCACTACCCATGTGCCCTCATATACAAGTAAATTAATCCTTTAACTGCCATTACAGTTGTGGATTTTAGATGCCTGCCTACAACAATGTTCCCTCTAAGGAGCAGCAGTTCATAAGTGCGCCACCTTGGTCCGTGAGTGCACAGCCTCGGTCCAGCGTGGGACACTTACTGAAGGGGGCTGGGGGCCGGGTGCTGGGGCCAGCAGTCAGAGGCTGGAGCCAGGAGCCAGGGGCTGGGGCCAGGGGCTGGAGATGAGGGACAGTGGCTGGAGGCTGGGGCTGGTGGCTGGGGCCAGGGGCCAGACCTGGGGGCTGGAACTGGAGCCTAGCACAAGCACCCTGGCTCCGGGAAGTGCTCCGCTACCCTGCATCAGGGCTGAGGAGTGGAGCACTTCCCCGGAGCCGGCGGAGCCCACGCCAGCCCCCGGGAGGCCCCCCCCGCGCACGCGCGCACCT